GGGGGGGGAAGGATGGTAGGGCTACCAAGTGCATATTTTTCCTTACTTTATTTTTTTCTTAGTGGGAATAATGTCCGGTGAGGATGGGGTCGGAGAGAGAGAAAGTGTGTACGAGAGAGTGGGATGCGGGTTTTTAGCATGGTAGGTGGGAGATTGGGTCGACTATTCCGGAGGCGGATATTGCGGCGGTGTGGGAAATTCGGGGGAGGTGACTTTTTTCTTCTTCTTCTCTATCCTGGGTGGGCATATGCGGTTGGTCTTGTGATGGGGGAGCACGTGGGTAGTGAGGGATGGCGTCAAGTGTACTTTAGTTGATGTGTTCACATGATGTGGTGCAGGGATGGGGATCGTAGGGTTGGAAAGATCTCGATTTCTTTCTGCAGTTGTGAGAGATGGGTTTAGCGTCGTGAGACGATCTAGAGAGTTGCTATGTGGAAACTTATGGCGGGTTATCAGATATCTGAGACGTGCGTATGGATGAAGTTGGTGAATGCAAAACATCAAGTTAGACTGGAGTATTGACGTATCAGACAATCAGAATAGTCTCTACGTTTGCCATATACCTATAGAACCTATAAAATACACGAAGCCAAGTTAGCTGGCAGACATATTGAGAGGTAGAGAAGTGTAGTGGGGTGAACGTGAACGGTGAACGTACACAGCGGATACTTTCCTGCTTCAGGACGAACCGAGGTGGGGCCATGCGCTCACCTCGAGTACGATCAACACCAAACAACGCGTTGTAACGCGACAAACCGCCACAATTGACGCTCCTTGGCTTGATTCTCTGCTTCGACTGGAGCGCGTTCTTGAGGTGTACACAGGTCTCAAAATGTTTTCTCTGCCTATGATTGCACCGCGTCCAGTAAGTGTTTCCTACTTTTTGTGTTCGGATGCTCGATGCTGCAACGAGCCGCAACATATTGGAGAAGCATGTCAAATATGGAGAATAAAAGACTGACACAATAAATAGGACGCCAGTCTGTGGCCCTCTCTCCACAACACACATGCAGCATTTGAAGATACGCAGTCACAGTCCCCGCCCAATACCTCGCACAACCAACGACGCCCAAACTCACACCACACACCCCACCACAACCACAACCTGCTGCTGTCCAGCCTCACAGCCGACGAAAACACCATTGCCCAGCGTAAACTCAACGTCCGTCGTTTTGGCGCAGGATGGCTGCGTCCACCGGGCGTATCGAAAACCCTCCAAGCCCTCAAAGACGAAGAGCTCGAGAAAGAGGAACAAGAAATGATGCAGCGCCGCGAACAAGTAATGATGGACCTAGCCGCTGCGCAACAAGAAGCCGCAAACGAAGAGCAGCGTGAGCGCGGCGAAATGGAAGAAGAAGCCGGTATGGGCGAAGAAGAACGAGACCTCGACGACGAAGTCCCCGAAGCCGAAGAAAGCATGAGCGAATCCTCCTCTGCCGCCGCCAGCAGCAGCAACAGCGGCAGTGGCAGCGACTCAGAAGGCGAAGAAGAAGAAGAAGAACAAGGCAGCGAAATCAGTGGCGACGCACAGGAAGAAAGCACCGTCCCCTTCAACGAAGACAGCTTCATCGAAGGCAGCATGATGGAAGCAGAAGTCTCACACATGCTCGAGATGGAAGAGGCGGAAATGGCAGGTGTACTTCAAGACGAACGCGACCTCGACGACGATGTCCCTGAAGCTGGAAGTTATGAGCATACAGATTCGGAACTCGAGGATTCAAGTGACTTGGATAATTCGGCGCTGCCCACAGGGCTTGCGTCTGCAAGGTCGAGACGCTCGACCAGGAGGAGGCGCTCGAGTGGGAGACGCAGTTCGGGGCGTCGTAGCTCGGGACTTCCTGGCGGGATGACGCTGGGTGCGCATCCGACGGCTGGACGGGTGAGTTTGGGCGTTGATTTGGGGAATGGGAGGAGCAGCTTTGGGATGGATGGCAGTAGTTCGTTTCTTGATGGAAGCTCGTTTTTGAGGAGTTCGCCCGCCGGGAATGCAGCGGCTAATCGGGGGTCGTTGCGAGATCGCTTCTTGGGCGCTGCGAGGGGTGGTGGCGGGACTAGTGGCGGTGGAGGGGGAGGGGGAGGTGGTGCCGGATGGAGGGCTTGATGTCGTGGTGCGATGATTGGTGAGTTTGTATTGTATAGATACCCAGTAGTGGTGCAAGACTGTACCGCGGTGTTAGCGAGTAGAAAACATGTGTAGAATACCCTGAGTGGCTCATAGATATGGAATGTAAAGATATATGTGGCACCGGTCACAGGGAATATTGCTATCTACATGAACTTGGGTGTCTTGTCCCACACATTCATTATCACGAAGAAAGGTATAACACATGTCTCACCTCGCCGTATAATATCTTATCAGAGTGTATATTCTGCTTACAGAACCTAACAATAAGAACGTCTACTTATATCATTCATGATACTATCCTACAGTCTGTTCAGCATATTGTTACCCCCTTATCCCAAAAATTCTCTAGTTCCAACCCAGACCCTGAACTACATACTACATAAACTAGGTCTTCTGTCCCAATTACTCTGTCTGCACGGGATGTTGAATGAGGCGTAGGCCGCAGTGCATGAAATCCCGAATAGAAAGCGGACTGGAGTACAGTGTACATACATAGTATCTACTCGCCTCAGCGTTGACAGTGTGGAAACTAGAAAGGAGGGTCATGTGTGTTGCAGAATTCAAGAATCGGGGGGGTTTAAATTCGCTTTCTCGTTTGCTGGAGACTGGAGATTGATTTTTGTTGATGGACCATGAGAGTTGGAGACCATAAGAGTCATATGGGCTTGATTATGACTCGTGTGATGTCGATAGTGATCACCGGTGCGGAGTTACGACTTTCGCAGATTTGCCAAGTCGGGCTTTCAGAATATCTACAACAGTAGCTTAATGGGATGAGTTGGAGATGTGATGAGTTGAGCAAGAGAAGGAGGGCAGTGTCCAGAATGTATATGAGAAGCGATGGAAAATACGAAACCAGCTGATGTGACTACCTGATAAGGAGACAACTAGATAGTGGTGTTCAGCTTATCAGATGCTGTGATAATGGCGAAAGAATGGTAGTCATAAGGACGAGCCTGGGACGTAGTATTTGGTCATGGTAAATTACTCGTCTCTTCACAAAGCAAAAAAAATCTTGGTGTATATCGTCACGGCCATACGTTGGAATTGGTATTCTTGATTTTTCCTTTTGCTTGCTCCCAGCGGTACATATACAGCAGTTAGTGGGATGCAAAGATGTTGCGGGTACGCAGGTGGACTGGTGTCTCTCCCTTGGGCGTATCTGGTATCGTCTTCTCCAATTTCTGCAGGGAATGAGTACACAGAGTGGCAAGGGTAATTTTCCAGACGTACCAGCTTGTCGAACACACACTTGTTCAGCTTGCGCTCTTCCGACCTGCAGTTCCAGAGTTGCTGGTTGTGGTTCTCAAGACACTGCCAGTGGGTGCGGAACTGACTCAGGCAGTTCTCGTTGATGTCCTTGATACTGGCGCATGTGTCAGCACCTGCCTCGTCGTACAACTACAGCTCGAGTACGCACACGCTCGCAGCACACCTGGTGACCTTGCGGCCCTCCTTCATGCACTCGAATTCACCCCGGCCGTTGGCCTCGGTCTTGCACATCATGTAGTCATCGTTGAAGGGCTTGCAGCGCGCGCCAATAAAGTACGAGGCACTGAGGAGGGGCGCAGAACTGGCTCCGAGCTCTTGGACCTTGGGGATGTCGTCGGGCAGAGGGGTTGTGTCGATGAGGGCTTGCTGGTTAAACCTGGATGAGGTAATTAGGCCATGGAGCTTACAGCTGGGTACAGAGAGTGAATTTACCTGGGCTGGCGCGACGACATGGTAGCTGGTGGGTGCCAATGGCGGACTATCGACTTGGAATTGAAGATGATGGTAGGCAGGTCGTCGCGGAAGTCGGCTTGGCACTTCACTAAAACTGGCAGGGATGTGATGGGGCCGCCGCCTGTGCCTGAACCTTTGTCAAGCAGAGACAACAATCTCTCTTCACTCTCGCGCCTGCATCTCAACTGCACTTTTGCGTCGCCTTGCACAAAGTCCATCGGCCGGAATGCACGCCCATTGAGCTATACTGTTCTTATCTCCAGCGCCAGCATCTCTACGAGGCACTGTTCGCGTTTCCTACCGCGACCGAAAACAAACAACCCGGCGCCCGACAGTCCGCGACTTGAAGACACCATCACTCGTTTCCTCAATCCATAAGCAAGCTTGACTCAGCATCCGCAAAGCGCGCATTCTCTTCAACATGTCTTTTAGCTTTGGAAATGTTGGCGGTGGAGAAAAGAAGACGGGTACCTTGTTTGGAAGCACTACAGCACCAGCTGGCGGTCTGTTTGGCCAATCGCAGCAACAGCAACAGCAACCTCAGCAGTCGAATAACACAGGCGGTGGTCTGTTCGGTTCTGCAGCACCGGCCCAGAACAATACCACGAGCTTATTTGGCTCGACACAACCACAGCAACAGCAGACCACTGGCTCAAGTCTGTTTGGCCAACCACAGCAACAACAAAATGCTGGTGCGAGCTTGTTCAGTCAGCAACAGCAGCAACAGCAGCAGGCGCAACAACAGCAGCCCAATATGAGCAACAGTCTCTTTGGCGCCTCGCTCCAGCCCGCCCCTATTCTAAACAGCGTGCAGGCGCAAAGCATCCAGCAGCAGCGCGAAGGACTCCCCCAGCTGCGCCAGTCTTCAGCACAGCCTTTCGCCGGCTCTACCATGAGCGGTCACAGAGAAAAGTCGGTCGTCGAGCAGATACGAATCCTCAACAACAAGTGGGACCCAGAGAACCCAGAATGCGTATTCCAGTTTTACTTCTATAACTCGGTTAAGCCAGAAGAGGCGCCTTTCTACGGGCCCTCACAGGGCGAAGATGAGCGAAAATGGGAGGAGGCCCTCTCAAAGAAGCCGAGCCCAGGCGCCATCCCTGTACTAGCGCGTGGTTTCGAGCAAGTCGGAGAGCGCATACGGCAGCAAGCTGCTGCCGTTACCGCACTGCGCACACGTCTTCATGAGATCAACAACAGTCTCTCGTTGCTCAAGGATGCACATGAGCTGACGGTAGCATCGCGCATCACCGAAGCCAAGCGGAAGCACATTGTCTTTACCCAGCGAACACTAGCCCTCGCAACCAAGGTGCAAATCTTGCGAAACCGTGGATACGTCATGGACCCACAGGAGGAGGACTTGAAGAAGAAGTTGATTGAGCTGGAGAAACAGACCTTTGACCCCGTACTCGGAGGTCGGCAAGAGGAGATCTGGGCGCGCATGTCCAGCGTACGCGAGCGTGCGCGGATACTACAAGAGGAAACGGAGAAGCTGGGTAGGACCATGGACAAGCAACAGAACGGCGAGCTTCTTTCAGAGGAAGACCAGAAGGCACTGGAGAAGGTGAGATACCAACTACTGTTAGACACTAGACCACAAACTAACGTTATCCTCCAGCTCCTGAAAGATTACGACCGTCAACTCGAGCACCTCAAGAAATGGGTTGATGATACCAAGGAAGAGTACGACGAATGGGAAGCATCAAAGCAGGCAAGACCAGCGAAGCGATAATTTCATAATGTACTTTGGCGCTTTGAGCATGTACGATTCACTAGAGATGTGGGGGTTTATATTGTCAAAAGTTGGGCGTTGTGAGATACCAAGCGGCGGATGCATAGAAACCGATAATAGTCTTAGCGTCCCAGGAGCGTTGCTACCATTCTGTACACTTTGTCTTGTAATGCCCATCTTGGAAAGGACCACGAAACAATGGAAACTCTTGCATTCGGGATATCATTACACTCGGTGACCAGCGTTTTCCGTCAGGCAACTCGTGTGCCTTGGTATTGTTACAAGCACATCTTTGACTACATGCGCATATATGATACAGCTGCTGTTCGTTTCGGCATTACACTCCTCTCGCCCATAAGCTATGGGCGTGTAGGTGGGTACAGCATGTGACAGTAGGTTCGTTTCGCTTAGAAGAACTTGGAGACGTATTCGACGAGATGTGGCGCTGCTGATGATTAGCCCAAAGTACACTTGCGCAGCTCTGGAGAGATTTGCTTACAAAAGTACAAGACAACTGCGCTGGCTGCCGTCCACTTGATATCGGACATGGTCTGCGCCTCTGCTGCGGCAAGTTCCTGCTTAGAAGGCTGTGGTGGTGCTAGGTTCATTGTCAGCCACGATTCGCCCCGAGAATCTGTTCTCTTCTCTCTCTCTCTCTCTTACATCCCAGATAGGGTTTGACTAACCTCCGAACATGGTTGCTATGTGGATGGATCCGAAAGAGTTGCGTGTTTAGAGTTTGACTTGAGAAAGTGAAGCTCACAGATGACGTTCACAGCGGGCACTTTGACATGCAAAAGTTTGGAGTAGTCGGCATTTGGACGCCGGATGCTGCCGACACGGTCAGAGGGTCACGTGCACACGTTCATCCGTTCACGATGCTTTGCATTAACCGACTTGTTTGCTTCTCTTGCGAATCTGCTCGCCCTGGCTTGCATGATCGACAGGAACTTATCTACAGTTGAATCCTTTGGTCGTCCATATGCAGGTTGAATTGCTGTCTGTCGCTGCCCTGCAGAAAGGAGAGATGTTCGCGGAGCCCAATCGCACAACAGCAACAGAAAACGCGCAGGCAAGTGTGTCTTCCATGAACAGTATGTACTTTTCTTTTCTTGGTCTATAAAGCGAGGCGTCTATGTCAGAGGCTATCTTGGATGCGGCATAAAATCCGTCAAAAGAAACGTAATCTTTGTCAGACCGGACCGCCTCTCTGGCCCTCTGCTACCCCTGTCTGCTGATAGTTTCGCGTCCGCTATTTTGTTAGCACGCTTCTCAATCGAATCTAAACCGGGTGACAAGAGTGGTCAACGGTACAGCAAGGAATCAGTGCCGGCCGTCTGTATCCTGTTGGTTTCCCACTGGCGATGGAGGCATCTTGGTTTGGCATGCGCGTTGCTATGTATAGGCAAGACAACGGACTAAAGTTAAATGCAACCCATGAGACGATCATTATTACATCACATACTAACAGACATAACCACTCTCCTATGTTCAGTGACCCTCAAACAAATCTCGGTATATTTCAAAGGGTCAACTTAAGGTCTGAACCTAACTGGCCTCGATTGTCATCCCGCCCCCAACAGGGATCAGCTGTGGCAAGCCGCAAAGACATGTCGTCGTTGACATGCCCGCGGCCATTCTGCACATCACCAAGCCCGAACGGACCATGCTGCGCCCACAAGTTTCTTTTAAATTATTGGCTAATTGCACAGATAGGCATGATCTTCACACTCCGGTTTGTATCCTGCTCGGGTCCATGACGCTAGCCGGTATGACCTGGGGTACTCTTTAACGTGGAGCCCCCTTGCACTTAGATGCACGGCTCGTATAGATAGAGTAAGCCTCGTCATCGTACGAATCTATACAAAATATTCTTCTTGTCACTCTTTTACTTGTTATTTCAGTGCTTGGAAATGTTTAATCCGACTGCCGTCGTACTCGGCTTGTACTCGACATGCGCACTAGCGCTCAATGCTCGCTATGCTCACGAGCCTGCCGACATCTCCGCTCGCACGGAGTCCCTCTCCCATGCACATTTGAAGCCCCGTCAGCATCTTCCCCCCGAATCCAACTGTGCTCCGTATTGGATGGAAAATATCAAACATCAGGGCATTGCTAGCTTCAATCCAAACCCGAACAACTATACAGTTTTTAGGAATGTCAAGTCTTACGGGGCAGTTGGCGATGGCGTCACGGATGACACCGCGGCTATCAACCGAGCCATTACAGACGGCAACCGATGTGTGCCTGGCAATTGCTCGAGTTCTACCAACACACCGGCTGTCCTATATTTCCCAGGTGGAACATACTTGGTGTCTGATGCCATTAAAGACTATTACAACACCCAAGTATAATGCCCAGGACCACTTACCGAGATCGCAAGTGACTAACAAGTCTAGATTGTTGGAAACCCCAACTGTCTCCCTACCATCCTTGCTGCTGCTAACTTTTCTTCTCCTGGTGGAACGACAATCCTTGATGGCTCCGGCTACGGATCTACCGTCTCTTTCTACCGCCAGATCCGCAACATCATCATCGACACTACAAGGCTGCCCACTAACTTCTCTGCTGTCTCAATCTACTGGCCAACCGCACAGGCGACTAGTATTCAAAATGTCGTGTTTAACATGAATCCCAACAATGGAACAACGCACATTGGTCTTCTTATCGACTCGGGTTCCGGAGGTTTCATGAGTGATTTGGTATTCAATGGAGGACGTCGGGGCTTCTTGGTTGGAAATCAGCAATTCACTACTCGCAACCTTACATTCAACAATATCGACACTGCCATTGAGATGTTTTGGGACTGGGGCTGGACGTACAAGTCTGTGTCTATTAACAACTGTCGTGTTGGATTGAATGTCTCTTCCGGAGGTTCTTCATCACAGAGTATAGGATCCATTACGTTGTTCGACAGCGAAATCAAGAATACAGAGGTTGGAATTGCTACTGCCAGGACCGATAATTCTCAGCCCGCTGCTGCTGGAGCCCTGTATCTGGAAAACGTCAAGTTTGACAATGTACAGGCTGCTGTGGTTGGCCCCAATGGAACCTACCTCGCAGGATCTTCAGGTTCTGTGGTAGTCGATGCTTGGGCTGATGGGCACCGTTATACTTCTTACGACGGCCCCGATATTAAACGTGGTCGTATCGAGCCCACGCAACGACCAGCTGACTTGGTGGATGCCCAAGGAAAGTTTTACGAACGCTCAAAACCTCAATATGGAGAGGTCCCCTTGTCTCAGTTCCTCAGTGCTCGCGATCTCGGTGCTACTGGAAACGGTCGTACGGA